GGTCTTCAGTTTTATATCATCTAGTCAAAAAAGGAAACATACAATTTCATAGCCCTGGGTGGGATATCTTTGAAATTTTATCAGTCGCAGAATTAGGGCACTGCACCTGCTTTGGCCACTGGTGGTTAGGATGGGGTATCTCTGAAAAGTAATCACTGGCAGAATCACTGCACTAAGGTTGCACATCTCTGAAAAACAGGGCGTTCCTGAACCATAACTGACGTGAAATCGTATTATTGCAGGGGATTGTCGCACGAACTGCAGTTATGACTATATAAACAGACTAGCATTTAGAATTTTTTTTCACAGCGTTTTATTCAAATCGTAAGCGTCGGACGTTTTGTACTCGGTCACAACTTACATGAAGATATTTTTCCCAATTATCCAGTGTTTAAAAGAGGAGTTTTGCAGCTGTTACACAAAACCCCATCGATGTGTCCGCGCGCAAGCCAAAACACGAAACAATAATCACTCATGGACCACAAACCGCGCAAAATTGTGAATGATCTGCGACTTATTAGCCTTGAGACCAATCTCGCATATTACAAAGAAGACTTTGTCTTATCTGCACTCCACAAAGATAAAACAGATGACTAAGACGATGGTAATTTTTAAAAGAGGCGCCATTTTTCTTTGCTGCATTCGCTGCGATCCAATACCACCACAAACTTCCGTCCAGCGGCTTGCGCATACTCGCAACGTTACCACTTGCTGTTATCACTGACAAGGACTACTGGTAACCAGTCTACCTCGTTCAAGAGTTTGCTCGACACGCATTTCTGGACTCCGCCCTCCGCTAAGGGATTAATTAGCCTTTTTACACTTAGTTGGTTTGAATTAGAAAAGAAGGATTGGTTTAAATCAATTTGTTCAGTTCACGGAACTTTTAAAAGATATTGAATATTTTACGAATACAGTGCAAGAATGGGGAAAACAGCGTGACTACCTTGATAACCCATTTAGCCCAATTTAATGGTACGCTCCAAGCTCAGTAAGCGGCCAGTTAACGGAGAATTCTTAGGCTTTCCAGCACATGCCGTGGGAGAGTTGCCGTTCGGTTCCCAGCTTCACACTACATGTGTTGTGTGGAGCTGACAGTTAAAGAAGTGCTTTAAATTGCACTCGTTTAGGCTTAAGGGGCACCTAGCCTGACACAACCTAATTTATGCCAATGAACCTATAAAGTTGGCGAAACAGCTGTTACACTTACAGTGTTATTTCCTTTTCGCATACGCATTGAAAATCCTGACGAGGCTGTGAGTCCTGTTTCTCCCAGTTGACAGCGTTGCCCCATTCTCAGTAACTCGTTGTAAACAGAACAGTCACCCAATCGCTTTTGAGTAGCCGTTTATACATTCCACGGGGGTGTCGCTACGGGTTTGACTGTATAAAATTCGAAGAAAATCCCTCAGTTATTTCATCAGTGTCGTACAGGGTTTAAACAGAAAAACACAAACGTCTGTGGCCTGAGACCAGGCTCCTTGGTAGACAAAACGCAAAACGTCGGCGAGTGAAGCGAGCCTTTCCTTTCTCAATGTAATCCCCCGCTCGGTTCGCCGTTTTCTTTACGCGCTAGCCTGCGAACAAGCTTTCCATTTGGGGGAGTCGCGAGAAATCACGCGAGAGCAACACGCGAAAGGAGACGCGAGTGTGTGGAGCGCGACTCGCTTAGTTCGCCATAATAGCCCACGTTCGATACATTAAAATTCTGACATGACTCCCAGACTTTCTGGTCATTTTTTTTATATTTGGTTTGGTTCTCAAGTCTCTTCTGGGAATTGCGCGTCAATGGAGTCGTGAAAAATTTGCAATTTTGACCCCAAAGTCTCGGAGTCATGTTAGAATTTTAATACATCAAATGTGGGCTATTGGAAAGTTTGCTAGCTACAATCTTGGACAAAATAAATGGAAAACCTAGACCCCCCTCCCCCCCCCCGCCCAAATCAAGGATGCGAAAATGGCGCGTTTTTGGCCTTCGCGCGGCTTCATCCTTGTAAGAAAAAAATTGCATGCAGCACAAATGTAATAGAAAGCTTATGGGAAAAAAAGGGGAAAAAATATCCTGCCCACCAGATTGCTAGAAAAAAATATTCTTGATGACCAGAAATCACCGCCCCCCCCCTCTCCCTCAAGAGTTAAATGGTTGGCCCCTAAGTGAAGAGCGTAAAATTGAACAGAAAGTTAAGTTTGCTCGTACTGCTCATGATTGACAGTTAAACATGAAAGTCTCCGGATCTTTAGAGTGGCCAGGGGTGTTGGAAAAACAAAGTTTGTGGTGTTTTGTTTAGCAATTTGTTGAATTGATTGTTACTGATTTTAAGGTAAAACAGACATGATTTTCCAACGATTCAAATTATTATCTACACCAACTACATCTACTTCTACCTATATTAAGTCTGTAAAAATCGCTAAGACATCACACCAACCTTGCCTTATTTCCCAGTCTCATCAAAGCACAACAACAAAACTAACAACATTTCGACATCAGCCAAGACTAAAACACTGATAGGAT